CACAGACAAATAGAGCAAGACTAGCAAAAAAGAAGATGAAAGCCTCCGTCATGCAACCTGGGTATTCCTGGCCGCACACCAGCTGTGACCCGCCGTGCAAGTGATTATGCTGTGGTCATACTCCAGTCATTTGGCTCCGCCGGCAGCTACTGTCATTTCGTCCACAAACGACGGAGTAAGAATTGCCTGACCAGTGTCACTTAGCTCAACCCTGCGTAGGGTCATCCTCTTCAGCTCTGGCTGAAATGTGACTTCATACTGCACCTGCAGAGGGTCAGTCTCCTCAATGCATTTCCACAGCCAGTCAAAGAAGTCCTGTGCGAAATTCAGGCACACAAAACTACTCCAGTAGTTCTTGCACATACCAGGCAGGTCTGCAACTTGGTAGCTTTTGACATTGAGCACACTGCCCCTTTCATCTCGGAACCCAATCATAGCAGTTGGCACACCAGCAGCATAGCTTTGGGCCCACGTTCGCAGCATTTTGTGGCGGTGAAATGAATGCTGACGGTGTGTAGGACCGATCAGCTGCCGATGTGTTTTCAGCTCAACGTAGTTCAAAGGTGGTGCCTGAGCTGATGCACGCAACTCACCGTCTATCTCGGCAGCCAGTAGGAAGGTGTGATCTCCCAAGCCGGTCAGTACGACGCTGTTGAAACCAGCCGAGTTATTCGGCTGACTGGGCTCGTTCGCTTCTGGTTCGATATGTGATGTGATATAGCTTTCGAAGCGATACCCCCAGTAGGTTTGGTGCTGTTCCCGATCACCTTGACTGGAAAAGCTAGTGAACTGAAACTCCTTGTCTCTACACACGTACACGGTATTCTGAAACCGGCACACTTTAAAACGAAACTCTTTGCCAAGTTTATTATCCATCTCGTATGGAGCAGTCAGGATATCTGTCATCACTCCTCGTTGCACGGCGAAGTTCACCCTTGGATACTTTTTCAGTACTTGTTCGTTTGCTATGATCCATTCCAGGATTGGTTTGAGTCGCTCTGTCTTGATGTTCTCATCGTCTCTCCATTGAAAGTCAGCAAATCCTTCGTTCAAATCCCAAGCTAGCGATCTCACATCGCCACCAGGAACTTCCACGCAGCGACGAGCCTCTCGCCTGTCCATGTATATGGCACGCTGGTCATCCAGAGAGAAGTGACCAATTTCAGTGGGACGTTTCAGACCCCTGCACGGTCTGGTATTTTTCCTAATGTCCAATAGTTCCATCTTCTCGTCGCTAATCCCCGGCTCCCTGCGCGAAGCTGCTGCAGCCTCCATTCTTTAGTGGCTCCTTCTAGGGCTTCTGTGCCGAAAGTCTGACTGCGATCCTGTACGAATAACGACTTAGGTCAGCTGGACGTCACCCACACATAGCACAGTCACTCTACTGGGACTGCTGCACCACTTTTTTCAAGTTTATTTTACTTCAATATCTAGCGAGAAACTGACTTCATTACCTCTGTTCTCCCCCGTCTTGTTCGACTCCTTGTTTCTGGAGGGGATCAGCACCAAGAATAAATCGTGCTAGTGCTGGCGAATCAACACTGCTCCGGGTCAGTACAGGGCCGACTTTGATCCAGCGATCCAAGTGCAGGTCTGGGAAGCGAAGGCCAGCAGTAATATTCAGTCAGGGAAACAATGCTTGCCATTCGGGTGGATAGGCTCAAGCGTACATGTAAGTCGTCGTTGGCGGCACGATTTAGTTTTCGATCGACTGTATGCACATTCTGTTTCTATTCTTGTCATCAGGCTCATTTTCGTGTTCTTCTTCGGCTAGGGGGGTTTCCCTATGCAGGCCCAGTAATGACAAGAACTGGAGACAGTTACGCGCGTCTGGTGACGACGTGTATAGCCGAGCATTGGTGTCATCCACGAGGCACGACGTGGTATTGTCCAGTCCGGGGGGATTACCCTAGGCTCTAGTCTGAAAGTAGGCCTTAGCCTAGGTCAGTGCGGAGTCTGCGGACCAGAACCACTGGCAGAGAACGTGTCCAACAACCTCTTTGCACAACTCTAGGGGCTCCCGTAAGAAGACCATAGGTCTGTGGGAAACACCCTAGTAAAATAAATAAAATAATAATAATAATAATAATAATAATAACTCCCAGACCGTCATAGCAGTAGGTAACCATGGTAACTAACTTTTGGCTGCTTACCTATTGAGTACCGGTAATGCCCCCCATTATTGCCGAAGTGGCATCAACGTCTTCTTCACATTGTTGTCCCCGGCGCGGGCTTGCGAATTAGATGGTTTGGAGGCAACAACGTTGTGAATGGCCAACGGTCCTCAGCGTTTGTTCAGCACCTCCATGATAGCCCTTTCACAAAGATGCTCGCCACTTTTTTTCGCAACTTTTGGTTGTTTTGGAAGAGATTGCAACTTTCGCAACTTTCTTCATTTTCACGAACTACTTCGCAACTTTCCGCACTCGATTACAGTGTATCACCTAAGAACTCTTTCTCTCTCTCTCTGAATAAGTGTGCAATTCTGTATTTTTTTTTTTTTTTTTTTTTTTTTACGAGAAACCACGAACCTCGAGAACAGAATACTGCATGATAACCATTATCCAATACTGTAACCGCTTTCTCTACCGACTGAGCAAAACCAGGACTTAACAGCTCGAACTCGTCTTCTCAAAGTTCTTTCTCACCCTGATACAGTACATGTAGCAGAAGATGCGAGTGAATCAGCCTTTATCAGGAATCCCGGGGCGGACGAGATAGTGATGGGTAGTCCGCAAAACTCCGCGTACATGTACACTAGGCTTGTTACGAAGTCATGACGTCTGGATCTTAGCAGCTATGACTGTGCAGGCTATGGGTATTGCTCTAATAATTCAACAAATTGAGGTATAGTTGATGTTCGGTAATGATGGAAGGAGAGCTGGAGATACGGGAGAGATGAGCTGATTATGAGAATTCGCAGGGTTAGGGTGACATCGGTTGGACGAGTATGACGCTTACGAAGACAGTTGAACATGACAGTTTTCAAAGGTCAGGAAAAATCTTTCAAAGCAAAAGAAGTCAACTAATGAATAGAAGAAGTAATGTTTTCTCTTTTCCAGGTTGATCTCTAGTATGCATGGACACCTTGGTATGGGGATACTCACGTATTCTGTTGTACTTATGGCCACTTGCAAGTACGAAAAAGGCACAATTTTCCGAACTTTGAGGCTCCATAAGCACAACAAAGTGAATATGTATCCCCGCGTGCCAGAGCATAATATGAGGATTTTGCGAGCATAATGCGAGAATCCATGAAAGCATAATTCCATGATTTCGCCGGCATAATCCGCCGGTGCCTAACGTATGGGACGGTGAGAAGGCAATCATGCCTGTGCCATTGGTGAGGTAAAATAAAAGTCAACAACAGCAACATGTTACAAGGCGGAGGACCATTGTGTTTGGAAACAGTGACCTTACTACAACCATCCACGGTTGGCAGAGCCCCAGTCTTGCAACCATTTGAACTGGCTCAGTTATAGTAGTCCGCAATGCTGCTTTTCTAATTCTCATTATGATTAGAATGCAATGTACTACCCGAAGTACTGAATTTACTTCTTCTGTACTCTATATTCTAATGTATCTTCTACCTCTTCTCCCTTACGAACATACTTTCTTATTTTCCATACTTCCTTAGGAGACTCCCTTCGATAGGCATCTATTTGCCTCTGCCAGGCTCTGGAGGATCCGTGAAATAAAAATCAATCAATCAATCAATCAATCAGGAAGCTGACAAAGAAAAAAGAGTAAGAAAAAAAACAGATAAAAAGAGAGCTGGGAGAGAGAGAGAGAGTTGGGGTACGGTTAGGGGAGGACGAGACATTGAATGGTGGTCGCCACAGTCACAGATAGTAGCAGTGCTGGTGAGGCTACAGGCACTCCACTGACCATTAGGTCTCAGTATCGCCATGCCGGTAACGCACCAAGAGACAAAAACGGAAGAAAATCTGAAGCGCAATACATGAATAGTAATTACAGTATAGGTAATATGGAGAGTGGTGACCAAGAGAGGACAGTATAGACCGTTAGTATGGGGTGAACATCACCAAACCGAGAGGGGCGATCTGGAAAGAACAGTGAGACGATCAACATGATGGGCTTCAAAGCACGTCCCAAGACCATGGCTGGTCTGAGATGTGTTTGTCGACACCTTTTTTAAAAGCTGTGAGTGGAGAGTTATTGGCCAGACGGGGAAAGACGTCCTCGGGGAGGCTGTTCCACAATTCAAGGAAACAGTACGGGAAGGAACGTCGAAGGTAATCGGGACTGGTGCCGGGGGTGGTGTTTAAGAGCTGTTCCCGGTGCTGGCGCTGAGCATAATGCTGCTGGCGGGTTCGAACAGTATCGCCGCGGAATAAGAGAGGGGGGGGGGGCGGAAATACGGAGAGATGAAGTGTGGACAAAAGCGAATCAACCTCATCATATCAGGGCTACACAAGAAGCAACGGAATGATTCTGGGATAGGCATTTCCCAAATCGGCCGAACGAAAAATTCGCCGAAAACTGTGGTTTTGAAGAAATCACCGATCTTTTCGCTGAATATGCAATTTTGGGACTGAATTCGACGAAAGTCGATGTTTTTATGCCTCAACAGCATGTACATGTAAATGCAACCCCTGTAACCATTATACTGCGAAAAGGGACTGCGTCACTGCGACTTTAGGCATTACCGAAATCGGTCAGCGGGTAAAGACGACGAAATCAATGGCTATGAAGAAATCGCCGATAATTGCACCGAATTGGCAAATTTCGCACTGAATTCGCCGAAAATGGATGTTCCTCTAAAGCATGCAGGTAAATGTACACTGTATTACGAGCGCTGAATTCAAGTTCTGCTTTGAGCCGAATTCTGACTTTGGGCCTCATATTATGGCCGAATTTGGACATTCTCTTAGCCGATCGAAAAGCCGATTAGGAGAATAGATCGGGCCGATTTTGGGAAATGCTTATTCTGGGAACATGTTCTGCGGCAGCCTGTTCCACTCATCCACCACTCCATATGGGAGTTATGGGATATTATTATTATGAGAATTAATGAACATGGGAGAGAGCAGGCAATGACTATGCAATGCAATAAATGCATGTATGATAAATGCTCTGCAGGCAATGTATGCATACATGTATGCGAATATGTTTAGTGCTATGCAGGCAATGTATAATAGACATACCACCGCACACATGTGCATGTACATGTAGCTCAAAATTAATGAAAAAAACAAATCATTTTAATGGAGGTCATGCATCTGTTGACAACTTCGACCCAGTGCGCTCTGTCTGAAGAAAGTTGCTCCGCCTCTAAAAGAGACATGTTGAGAAGTAAAAATACACTGTACATGATTGTATGCATGTACTCAATCTGCAGACAGCATGCTGTTTCGTTCTTTGTGAACTCCTCAGCGCAGCACAGAAAAAATGAAGCCGAACCTGATAGCATTGAAAATAAAATTTCCAAAGCCAGATTTAAACTCGGCCCGAAAGTACCTTGCCATGTATGCATTTATGTTAAATGCTGGAAATCATAGAAATGATTATGTGGATGATGGGGCTGCCAAGCAAGGGAAAGAAGGTAAGAAAAGAAAAGAAAGCTATATGCTCGCCATCTGAGGTATACTCGAGGTAGAGGAAGCGGGTTTTTTGATGAAAAATTTAGAGCCCAAACCAGGGCATTTTTATGGATTCACGGGGGTACCCGCGGCAAATAGTGGTACAGTCAAGACCGTAGTGACCATAGTGTGTCCAACGCCTCTGAGAACGTCATGCAGAGACGTCGATGGGTAGAATGTGACAAAATGGCCCCTGGCCGTGGACAAACGTCGCGGACAATCAGCATTAATTTGACTACACTACCTCTGTCTATCTAATAATGAATAACTCGGCTACGTTCTTGTCTCAGCAGAGCTGCATGCAAACGGCCACACACTTGTATGCATATGCCTTGAGCCTTTATCAGTCTAAGGCCCGAATCAAGGCACACACACTGGTGAGCCAAATAGAGCAAGACTAGCAAAAAAAGATGAAAGCCTCCGTCATGCAACCTGGGTATTCCTGGCCGCACACCAGCTGTGACCCGCCGTGCAAGTGATTATGCTGTGGTCATACTCCAGTCATTTGGCTCCGCCGGCAGCTACTGTCATTTCGTCCACAAACGACGGAGTAAGAATTGCCTGACCAGTGTCACTTAGCTCAACCCTGCATAGGGTCATCCTCTTCAGCTCTGGCTGAAATGTGACTTCATACTGCACCTGCAGAGGGTCAGTCTCCTCAATGCATTTCGACAGCCAGTCAAAGAAGTCCTGTGCGAAATTCAGGCACACAGAACTACTCCAGTAGTTCTTGCACATGCCAGGCAGATCTGCAACTTGGTAGCTTTTGACATTGAGCACAATGCCCCTTTCATCTCGGAACCCAATCATAGCAGTTGGCACACCAGCAGCATAGCTTTGGGCCCACGTTCGCAGCATTTTGTGGCGGTGAAATGAATGCTGACGGTGTGTAGGACCGATCAGCTGCCGATGTGTTTTCAGCTCAACGTAGTTCAAAGGTGGTGCCTGAGCTGATGCACGCAACTCACCGTCTATCTCGGCAGCCAGTAGGAAGGTGTGATCTCCCAAGCCGGTCAGTACGACGCTGTTGAAACCAGCTGAGTTATTCGGCTGACTGGGCTCGTTCGCTTCTGGTTCGATATGCGATGTGATATAGCCTTCGAAGCGGTACCCCCAGTAGGTTTGGTGCTGTTCCTGATCACCTTGACTGGAAAAGCTAGTGAACTGAAACTCCTTGTCTCTACACACGTGTACGGTATTCTGAAACCGGCACACTTTAAAACGAGACTCTTTGCCAAGTTCATTATCCATCTCGTATGGAGCAGTCAGGATATCTGTCATCACTCCTCGTTGCACGACGAAGTTCACCCTTGGATACTTTTTCAGTACTTGTTCGTTTGCCATGATCCATTCCAGGATTGGTTTGAGTCGCTCTGTCTTGCTGTTCTCATCGTCTCTCCATTGAAAGTAAGCAAATCCTTCGTTCAAATCCCAAGCTAGCGATCTCACATCGCCACCAGGAACTTCCACGCAGCGACGAGCCTCTCGCCTGTCCATGTATATGGCACCCTGGTCATCCAGAGAGAAGTGACCAATTTCAGTGGGACGTTTCAGACCCCTGCACGGTCTGGTATTTTTCCTAATGTCCAATAGTTCCATCTTCTCGTCGCTAGTCCCCGGCTCCCTGCGCGAAGCTGCTGCAGCCTCCATTATTTAGTGGCTCCTTCTAAGTCTTCTGCGCCGAAAGTCTGTCTGCGATCCTGTACGAATAAGGACTTAGGTCAGCTGGACGTCACACACACATAGCACAGTCACTCTACTGGGACTACTGCACCACTCTTTTCAAGTTTATTTTACTTCAATATCTAGCGAGAAACTGACTTCATTACCTCTATTCTCCCCCGTCTTGTTCGACTCCTTGTTTCTGGAGGGGATCAGCACCAAGAATAAATCGTGCTAGTGCTGGCGGATCAACACTGATCCGGGTCAGTACAGGGCCGACTTTGATCCAGCGATCCAAGTGCAGGTCTGGGAAGCGAAGGCCAGCAGTAATATTCAGTCAGGGAAACAATGCTTGCCATTCGGGTGGATAGGCTCAAGCGTACATGTAAGTCGTCGTTGGCGGCACGATTTCGTTTTCGATCGACTGTGCGCATTCTGTTTCTAAGCTTGTCATCAGGCTCATTTTCGTGTTCTTCTTCGGCTAGGGGGGTTTCCCTATGCAGGCCCAGTAATGACAACATTGACAAGAACCGGTACGGAGACAGTTACCATGGTTACGCGCGTCTGGTGACGACATGTATAGCCGAGCATTGGACATTGGTGTCATCCACGAGGCACGACGTGGTATTGTCCAGTCCGGGGGGATTACCCTCTAGAAAGTAGGCCTAAGCCTAAGGTCAGTGCGGACTGCGGAGGCTGCGGATCAGAACCACTGGCACTGGCAGAGAACGTGTCCAACCTCTTCGCACAACTCCCAGACCGTCATAGCAGTAGGTAACTAACTTTTGGCTGCTTAACTATTGAGTACCGGTAATGCCACCCATTATTGCCGAAGTGCCATCAACGTCTTCTTCACATTGTTGTCCCCGGCGCGGGCTTGCGAATTAGATGGTTTGGACGCAACACCGTTGTGAATGGCCAACGGTCCTCAGCGTTTGTTCAGCACCTCCATGATAGCCCTTTCACAAAGATGCTCGCCACTTTTTTTCGCAACTTTTGGTTGTTTTGGAAGAGATTGCAACTTTCGCAACTTTCTTCATTTTCACGAACTACTTCGCAACTTTCCGCACCCGTGAGCAGAGAAGCGCCTTGGAAGAGACCATTGAAGTGTCCGTGATGCTCCGCTTCAACAAGAAGCGCTGAAAAATTGCATCAAATCATCATAACAAGTGTACTTCTCGAGGAACATATACAAAATGTAACAAAAGTCATGTACATATACATGCATTGTTGGTTGACAGCATCCTTCATCTTTCTGTGAGAACCGGACCTATGTGACGGTGAGAAGGCAATCATGCCTGTGCCATTGTTGAGGTAAAATAAAAGTCAACAACAACAACAACATGTTACAAGGCGGAGGACCATTGTGTTTGGAAACAGTGACCTTACTACAACCATCCACGGTTGGCAGAGCCCCAGTCTTGCGACCATTTGAACCGGCTCTGCCAACCGTGGATGGTTGTAGTAAGCACTGAGCAAAAATGCTATGATATTATACACAAGAACTCGCTCATTTTAAGTTGCGATACCAGCAACTTTCGAGCTTGCGAAATATTTTGGCATCTTTGGGAAAGGGCTACTCCATGAGCTACACTGACTCACGCTGCTATCTGGCGTTCACGAGTTTTCTTAATTTTTTAATTTCTTATTTTTTTTACAATGATCACAGCTCACAGGCAAAGACAAAAAATGCACGGTGGGGGCATTCCACTGCCCTTAGCCGACCTGAGGTCTCGACGTCATGGGCCCATAAAACGCACCAAAAAGAAAGAAGAAGAAACAGATGAAAGGAGTGACAGGTACCTGATACGAACTGTGAGGAGGATAGGCAGGACATTTGAAGGAGGGAAAGATAAAACAGCCAGTGTTAAGAGGAGAAAGAGAGAAAAAAAGAACAGACGCTGTTGGGAGGAGGATGTGGAGCGGAATTTGAAAGTCATGGGGTGAGGCAGATATGATGCTGATACTCAGAGATGGTCATCTGCCCACAACCAGTCGTTTGCTGCATTCTTTAAATGTTGCAAGTTCTTGGTGCAGAAAGGAGAGAAGACTCTGGGGGCAGCAGGTTCCACGGGGACAACTGCGTGAGGGTAGGCTCGACTACTCATTGCACTGCCCGTCGTCACTTGACGACGGTCAGGAACGGAATACACAGCGTCCATTGGCCCATGAACTTGGCTTGGGTGCACACGGGAAACACGTTCCAGTCACTCATACCCCGGCCAGTACCGTGGTTCATCCAGCCCTTGCCGCTATCGCGGCTAGGGTCCAGCGGATAATGCCGGCATTATAATAGGCATTATGAGACTATCCGAGCATTTGTATTTATTAATTAAAGGGTTTCCCAAAGGCATAGCCTATCGGGGGATCTCCTTAGAGCATTATGGAGCATTAGAAATCTAAGAGTATTGAAATCGTATTCCTTCTGACAGCGGTATGCACATCAATCCATATCAGGGAGTCGTGTATGGTATATACGACTCCCTGATCGACATCTGGATTGCCAGATACATGTACATGTACATGTACATGCTATGACGTCAGAACAGGGAAATATGGGACTGTAAGAGCTGTGGATTGGAAGCAAGAACCTCAATTTTACGTCTAGGATGCTTCATTCGAATCATGAAGCGGAAAATCCAGCGTGGGAAAGTACGAACTGAAGTAGTAATGCATTCTCTGCCTGTAGCCAACTGGAACACGTGACCTTTGAAGTTGCGCATAGGATCGATGCCGCTGCTCAAAGATTGCGAGAAAAGAATCCGTTGATAACTACATGTAGTCCAGTTTCCACCATGGGACAATCAAAAGATGGAACTATCAATTGAAAACAAGAAGATCACAAGTTGATAGGACGCTGAGAGATTACAGGAATGCAAATGCAAATACAAGCGAAGAAACTGGCGATGAGAAAGTAATCATAAGAGTGACATACATGGGACAGAACAACAGTGGATGTAAGCTTCATGGGGCAGCTATGTTCCCTCAGTGGGGTACAACAATTTAAACGCATCCTGTGTTACTGGATTATACGAGAATAAGAGAGCGCTGCATGGATTTGATCTGCAGTGCATTCAATAGCAACATTTATTTATTTATTTATTTATTTCACTCAACTCGTGGTTCATGACCAATTGGCACGCAAAGTGCGAGAGAGGGGTGATAGCCAACCACGGCAAGAAAAGAAAAGAAAGGAATATAGAAAAAGAGAAGAAAGAAGGATAGACAAGAATCCAGCAATGAGATCCTATCGTACTACATTATGCGATCGGAGTGCATTTTTAAAGCTGGAAAGACATTTTGATGTCTTAACATGCTGGGGAAGTTGCAGCCAAAGGCTGTAGGACAAAAACAGAGGAGAGTTGGTAAATGCGGCTGAATTAGCACAGGGAAGTGAGAGACTATTACGAGTGGACCGGGACAGAGAAAACCAATTGAATACGGAGAGATGAATGGGAATTTTACCTAGGCGAATTCTGTGGATCAAAACGCAAAGCTGCTGTTTGCGATTATCTTGCAGTGGCTGAGTATTGCTGATACAATAGAGCTCAAGACTAGGAAATAAACGCTGCTTGTTAAACAATATTTTAAGAAGAGATTTATGTTGGATTTCAAGTTTGTTCACAAGATGTTGACTTAGACTACACCAAGACTGACATGCATACTGGAAAATAGGTAATAGATACGAGCGATAAAACATAGAACGGCATGTATTTGGCAAATGAGAACGATGAGGATATAGTATGCCGAGAACACTACTAGTTTTCTTGCAAATATAGTCTACATGAGGAGCCCATGTTAGACAGTCGTCAATAGTTATACCAAGGTGCTTATGTTCATGGACAATTTCTATGGTCGATGAGGTGCCAGGACATGATAAAGACACATTGCAGAACTGATCACTAGCACCGCTACAGAAGAACATCACTTTGGTCTTACTAGTGTTCGGTCTCAGCTTCCAAGTCATGTGGTCATCTGATGACTGCCATGGAAACGAGCATTTGGAATGACAAGCAAAGAGGAACAATATGATCTGCTGAAATGGAAACGCAGGCTGTGTTATACACACGCGAGCATAAACACACACACACACACACACACACACACACACACACACACACACACACACACACAACACACAACACACAACACAGTATGCTCATTTTTGATCAAAGCCGAGCTTGGTCCAGGATTACAGCACCTCCGTTACAGCTGCTGTATGGATCAGGATGCACCAATGTCAGCCATGTAGAATGACAAGGCAGTTCCACTCATTATAATACTTGTTTTACTCTTGGTCAGACACATTCTGACATGGGTAGACCAGTGTGTCATGGCCCATCTATTGGTTCACTCACTTTTTGCTGCTGATTTCGTCTCCACAAACTCTGGAGTGAGAACGGCGGCGCTTTTATCGTCCAGCTTGACTTTGCGTAGTGTTATGCTGGTGAAGGGTGGTTGAAATGTGACTTCATACTGTACTTGCAGAGGGTCAGTCTCCTCGATGCATTCCCACAGCCAGTCGAAGAGGTCCTTAGCGAAATTCAGGCACCCAGAGTCACTCCAATAGTCCCTGCACATGCGAGGCAGGTCTGCAGTTTTGTAACTTTTGACGCTATGCACAATACCGTCGTCATCTCGGAATCCTATCAGAAGGTTTGGTACACCACTGCAGTAGCACTGAGCCCATGCATTGAGCAGCTTACGACGGTGGAACGTCTCCCTGTGTTGAGGCTTTGCCAATTCTCTCTGGATTTTCATCTCTACATAGTTGGAGTTGGAGGGTGGTGACTGGCCTGGTCGATCAAGCTCACCATCCACCTCCCCAGCCAATATGAAGCAATGTTCAGCCAGTTGCGTGTAGACCACGGTGTGAAATCCCGCGGTATCATTCGGCCTGCTGTTCAGTTCAGCTTCTGGAGTGATGGGGGCTGTGCAGTAGGATTCAAACCTAAAACCCCAGTGTGTCGTCTGTTGATCACGTGGGCTTAAACTGGAAAAGCTGTCCCACTTTGGAAACTGCACATCCTTGCACAGGTAAATAACGTTCCTAAATCGGCACACTTTGACACGCCATTCCTTGGGGTACCTGGCTTCCAACTCGTAGGGAGTTGTGAGTACATCTTTCATGACTCCTCGTTTCAAGACGAAGGTCGTGTCCGGAAACTCCTTCAGAACCGTATTGTTCGCCATGATCCATTCCAGAAGTGGCTTGATTCCCTCTGCTTTGATGTTATCCTCGTCTCTCCATTGAAAGTCTGCAGATCCTTCGTTCAAATCCCATGCTAGCGAACTCAAACCGCCATCTGGAACTTCCACGCAGCGACGAGCCTCTCGTCTGTCCATGAATATGGCACGCTTGTCATCCATGGAGAAACACCCAATCTCAACTGGGGGACGCAGAGACAGGTCGGATTTGTCAGCTCTGCGTCTGATGAGCAGCTGTGGGTTTTTAGCGCCACTCGCTGGCGCCTTCGTCGCAGCACTCATTCCTATTCAGGCAGGGTACCTTCAACAGCCAGCAGACTAGCGAGCGCTTCTCTGCCTCGATCAGTAGTCAGCTCAAATATCGTTGGTTACTACGGTATCGAGTGAGAACTGCGTAGGATCACTACCGCTCAGCAGAGAACCTTTTAAAAATTGCCAAACTAAATCCAACGTCGCCGACCCTGACATGGAACACAGTCATTAATTATTATATCGCTTCACCTGCCCACACATTTCGTATCTTTGCCCCGAATATGAACATTTCTACGATGGGCATACCAGTGGTACATGTAGTACCATGAAGCACACATACACGGACGACACAAGCAGGGTCGCTACAACCACTTGCACACCAACCGTGCAGCGAAATCCAAAACGAGTTGCGCTATGTCGTCGCACTGGAGCGATTCTCGAGTACGTAACTGCAGATCGACCAAGTCACAAAATAATAAACTAAGTATTTTTAATAAAGGTACTAACGTAACTAAGTAAAGCGAAAGGTCTTGATCAACCGTGCCCCATGTCACTGTCAGTTAGTACGACAGTAGCCATGTGTGACTATGACTACGAGACGTTGCAAACTCCGTGTCATACCGGTAGTCATACGCCTGTAAACATGGTAAAAGCATTGATGCACTTGCCGACTGGGCCATGGGGCACCCAGCTCTGGCGGATCAGGTTTGAGCTGACGAAGTCACAAGCCCTCACGATCACCCACCGACTCCCTCTTTCACATTCCAGGGGATAGATCATGATACCGGAGGTTAGGACCCCTAAAGAAAGGGTTTGTCCCATCGTTTGATCAGTCCTCACAACTGGGCACACAATACACACAGTTTCACTTGGTTTTTTGATATTTTCACTGCATTGCCATTGATGTTAGCAGGAGCGCTCCTACGACGTGCGCGAGTGTCGCCGCATTTGCTGCTTCCGACCCACGTGTGGATCAGCTGATGCAGAAACGGCAATGGCGGGAGCGGCAGCTGCGACAGTCGCTGTTGATGCTTCGCCTTCTTCTTCAGGAGCATCCGACGCTGCTGGAACATCGACATCATCATCCTGAGTCGACACCAGGTCGCCAGGAACATTCTCATCGCCCGAGTTCGTCTCCACTAACTCAAGTTGCTCTTCCTCCATCGTGAAAAATCAAACCCTAGATATAGGGCCTAGAAATTTTTACGACAGCGCTGCACTAAAACTAACCGTACTCGAAGAAAATACCAACAAAATTGTCACGGTCTTCAGCAAGAGAACCCTTCGTACATTCTACGTATGTGGGCACAGGCGTTGCCATAGCAGCCAAGTGGGCTCTCAAGAGAGCACAAGATAGAACGCGCGGCTAAATTATAAAATGCGTTGCATATAAAAGGGTTTGACAGGCGAAGGACTAAATTAAAGGGGCACTCCGGCTTCATTTTCGACGCCGAGTTTTCGATGCCAAGACGAAGGTAGGTGAAAGAGAAGACCCCTCGAACAAGAACGAGTCTCCAGAAGCGATCGAGTCGAGCAGGAAGACGACTTTTTGAATTTCGCCGAGCGAGCGCTGATGACGTAATGAGGGATTAGCTTGCCAGTGGAAATGCATCTGCGCACATACATTTCACATACTTTTTGGCCAATTTTCAATCGAAGAGGAGGTTGTTTTCTATGTTCTCTCAACGTCGTGAGCGATCCCGTCAAGTTCTATACCCTTCCAGGTACCCTGAAGGTCCTCCAGAGGAGAATTTATCTCCAGCGAAGCGTTGTTGATCCGCTAAATCCGTCTCGAGACATATTCACCCAGTGCAGTGCTGATAAATGTAGAATGTTGAATCTGTGATAATTGTTGACGATGGAGAGAGAGGCTGATAGCCGCTGTCGCAGGGAGAGTGAAGCTGCTGGAAGTAACAACGGGGAGCCCGTTTGTATCACCTGAACAACCAGACTTCAAAGCAGCTTGACCAAATCGGAGGGTGCCTCGGTGCTTATCGTGAATATTACACCGACATGAATTACTACAAGTACACTGGTGAGTTTTTATCTTGTTTTGTTCGTATGCTAGTACCCTGGCCTGGAGTTCTCGTTAGCAAATTCCTATTCCCCGGCGTTTTCTAAACATTCCGTGTAGTACTGAATACGTGATCAAGTATTCCGATTTGGGTAGATGTGGAATTTGGACATGCATTTTATAAAAAAATTCTATTTTCCCAATAGAGCGTTTGTAGTGAAATTCAAATGGTTGCCCAAATACAACGAAATTGATTCTGCAGTTCTACAACTTGTACTGAAATCCAGTCAAAGTAAAAATGATTCTTCATGACAGTTGGGGTCAATGAAATCTGATCCAGGCATAACGAATAGTGATGCCTGCCACCCCGAGAACGAATGCCCATTTGGTGGGGATACCTAAGTACTCGAAAGTGGTGCATGTTTCAATGTGGCATGGAAGTTTTATAATAATATTATGATCTCTGGTCAATGCAACATACGATAGCCATCATGAATTGCAGGCCTCGAACGCAACTCAGACCAGAATTGGCAGTTCCCTAAGTTTATAATTCCATGGCCCCAGCTGTGGTTATAGAAGTTTGTTTGCACATTATTCTTATAGTCGATAGGTTTATACTAATGGCCACAAACAGCGGCAGTTCAAACTTCACTGACGTGTTCATGAGCTGAGAGATTTCTCTCCACTATTTCTGTTGTGCATACAGGTCTGTCCAATATGCATTGACGGTATTGGGTATGGTATCTGCTCTGAGAAGGGAATCGCTGGAGCCACAGTCCAACTAGACAGGCTTTCAAGAAACAGAGAGGATCCATCTTTCCAAGCTGATACCTGATGTGTACCGACAGAATTCTCACGAGATACCTTACGGACAACGTGTGGTGTGTACTTCATAGTACTCCTTCGACTACTATCTAGAATCAAGTCGACCGAAACAAGTCAAACAACTCTGGCTTCAAACGAGCCGTCGATTAGACAAACAAAACATTCTCTCATATACTGGAGCACTCTGACAACTCACGACCTATTCCTAACGATTTCCACCGCTTATACATATGTAGAGTGCTGATTGGAATGTGCTCACAATCTCAACAATTCAGTGCTATAATTATTTGAACAATGTGTTAGAAATTATTCCACTTTTCCTTCCATAAATGTTGTATCCACATATAATCCACAGTGCTCCGAAGTTTCAGAGTTCTCAGGGTATCAAACAAAATTATTTCAAATACAGTGAAATTGTTCGTGGACATTATAGCGTAACTAATTTACGTGTAGTTCCCTGGTCCTTTTCTTTGCTATTAATTAATCCTTTGCTCTCTAGCCGCCTGCGAGTCCAACAGTGAAATTGTTAGTTCATTTTTATAATGTGGGTATGTGGGAGGGGGTTGAACATATTTTTTATATAAGGGACCTGCAACTGTAATACCACAGTACAGTAGCCGGCAAATATGTAGAAAACAGAAATGCATGTTCCCATCATTGTACATGGACGGGCGCAGCAGGCTGAAGCTATCAGCCAGAACAGGATTTACAATCACTTAGAGATACTTGAGCTATTCCAGTATTCTCCGTGAGCTGTCCCATTCCACAATGGTTCATGCCACCATTATTTCTGGTAGTATCCATGTGCATAGTTCCAAGACCATCTCGGATTCTTCAGCAATTTGCGCCACGGCAAAAGACAATGCTTGACTCGGTCACTGGGGCTGTCAAACTTCCCATCACAAATGAACTTCAATTTCTCATCTGTTTCAAGTATATGTACTGCCATGACTCGATCATGCTTCATCCACAGCTGGGCGAAGATTGTGGCGTTGAATTCCATAGCGCACCTTCTTGCTGCCATGCAGGAGTATGTTGAGAGAAGTGAACATATTTTTACTAAAAAACAACAGCCACTGAAGAGGATAGCAATAGCCTTGGGTGAATTTCCTGCAGGTACACGTTGTTGGTAGGTCTACTGGTCGGTCTCCATATCGTCAAGTTCAGAAATCACCTTTACTACACATCTTGTAGAAGGGATCCTGATCGAATAATTTTCTGGTCATAAAATTTACTAAACTGAGGGCGAGACAAATAGTCAGTACTCCCCGATTCCGTCAAGCTGCTTTGAAGTCTGGATGCACATGTGATGCTAACAAGCTCCCCGTTGTTACTTCCAGCAGCTTCACTTTCCCTGCGACAGCGGCTATCAACCTCTCTCTCCATCGTAGACAATTATCACAGATTCAACATTCTACATTTATCAGCACTGCACTGGGTGAATATGTCTCGAGACGAATTTAGCGGATCAACAACGCTTCGCTGGAGATAAATTCTCCTCTGGAGGACCTTCAGGGTACCTGGAAGGGTATAGAAGACGGGATCGCTCACGACGTTGAGAGAACATAGAAAACAACCTCCTCTTCGATTAAAAATTGGCCAAAAAGTATGTGAAATGTATGTGCGCAGATGCATTTCCACTGGCAAGCTAATCCCTCATTACGTCATCAGCGCTCGCTCGGCGAAATTCAAAAGTCGTCTTCCTGCTCGACTCGATCGCTTCTGGAGACTCGTTCTTGTTCGAGGGGTCTTCTCTTTCACCTACTTTCGTCTTGGCATCGAAAACTCGGCGTCGAAAATGAAGCCGGAGTGCCCCTTTAAAGGGGAAGTATACCCTAAAATCAAATTTTCACCAGTTGTAGTCTTCTGGGTGCTGAGTCGAATGGTCTTGGTCCGAGGAAGCTGCGACGCTCCCTTCCTACTTGAATCCCAATCGAACTCGCGCACTTCCACCGAAACTGGGTGACTGCGCCCTACTAGATGGGGATTTGTATGCAAAATGTCACTAAAAGCGCCATTTCGTTCTTATAAAAGCACGGATGACCGCGATTGGCCCATATGTTGTAGTCTTTTGGACGCTGAGTCGACTGGTTTTGGTCCGAAAAGGCTGCGATGCAGCGTTCCTCCTTTATTCCCAATCGAACATGGTTGAACAAGCGGTCACGTGCTCCTGCGTACACCAGTCAGCTGGTCACCGTGCCTGCAGGGTACAACTTACTAGCCTGTTTGACCTTTTTTGGGTGCAGTCCTGTCACTCGAGTTGAACTCGAGTTGAACCTTGGTGTGAAAGTTGTCACCTGCTGGCGCGGTGACCAGGTGATTTGGGCACCCAGGAGCACGTGACCGCTTGTTCAACCATGTTCGATTGGGAATAAAGGAGGAACGCTGCATCGCAGCCTTTTCGGACCAAAACCAGTCGACTCAGCGTCCAAAAGACTACAACATATGGGCCAATCGCGGTGATCCGTGCTTTTATAAGAACGAAATGGCGCTTTTAGTGACATTTTGCATACAAATCCCCATCTAGTAGGGCGCAGTCACCCAGTTTCGGTGGAAGTGCGCGAGTTCGATTGGGATTCAAGTAGGAAGGGAGCGTCGCAGCTTCCTCGGACCAAGACCATTCGACTCAGCACCCAGAAGACTACAACTGGTGAAAATTTGATTTTAGGGTATACTTCCCCTTTAAAGGGACCGTCACTTAATTTTTGCCGACTACCCGCCAAAAAAATCTTTTCGTTTCACGTGTCAGACACGTCCGCGAGCGCGTACGACTCGCGCTCGCCGCGCCCGCACGGGTGTTTGCAGTGCATGAACTCTGGCCAGTCGTCCCCGTACGCAAAATGCGTACGCATTTGGATCTACCGTACATTTCCTCGTGTTTTGGGCGAATCTGAGTGGTACGACGCTGTCGAATAGGGCCTGAATTTGCCCTGAACCAGCCGCTATCGAAGTAAAATTAGGTGTTTTGAAGACCACACGGAAACACTGCGGCCATGTCTTCTTTCCTGCGTCGTTTGTTTGAAAATCGGAGTGTTTTTGAGCTCGTAGTTTCGTCTCGTTGTGGAATGGCGGTGCGTACATTCTTCTTAGAATTACCAAAGTCACACCCCCGTTTATTACATTACTAGGAGTTTTGCCGGCAGCCACGATAGTTTTTATCCCTGCTTCCATACATCCTTTCATCGAACAGCCAAACGAAACTTTGTGGCGCGCCTTAGTTTTTTGTGGCGCGGGGGTCTCAAGTTTGTCACTTCGAGTTGTACACAACAGCCGCATCATCTCAAAGGACCAAAAAAACCAAGTGAGCAAAGTATTTCAACGTTGCGATTATGCCTGGCCTACTGTGAAGATGGAGACTTCTACTCGGTAGCAGATACTCATATCAATAAGCTGGGAGGGAGAGCGTGGAGAGTAAAATGTTGGGATGAAAAGAGCGACATTCTCTCTCGGAAAAGGTCGTCGTTCCCACACACGTACACTTGCTTTACCCAAATCTGCAGAAGGCTAGATTTTGCATGCACGTGCGAGATTCGCATCCGCCGCACATAGGCAGAGTCGAAATTTTTCTACTCTCGGATTTGCCGCCATCTTGACGAGTGGCCGCTGCGAAACACCCGTGCCCGTGCTACCTTTCACGTCAAGCAATCTGTTCACGCCACATGGCTGGATAGCGCGTACATGCAAACATGATTGAAGACTTGCAAAATCAAATTTTTTTACAAGTCCAGGCGCTAGGGCTAGGCAGTACTAATCTAATGCCTAATGCCCAGGCAGCTGACTTTATTTTCGGAGAAACACTACTCACTGTAGTAAAAAGTAACAATGAATAGCGATAATTATAATCATCTAGGAAGGATCGCTACCCTAACGCGAAGGAAAGGCCTTGCGCGGCTGCTCTACGAAGTGCTGAAGAAAGACTCATCAAAGTTAGTTGGTGGACGAACAACTCGCTGGCGCCGGAAAACTTGGCCCCCAACGATGGTGTTTGGTGAATCATCAAGCATAATGTCTTGTAGCAGTGTTCACTGAGGAAGGAGAACGCTCTAGCCGCTGCTGTTGTCCGTTTCATCCACGTTGGGCGTTAGCTGCACCGCGCCTATTGTGTTTTAGTATTCCATGGACACACATTAGCATTCAGAGCGATTGTGGAGCCACAATTTACTTCACACAGCGTTGTATTGTCCACGAGCGCAAACTTCATTATCAGCAGTAACTGTTACTCTTCATCCTACATGTAGACTTGGAGTATACACGGCCTTGTCACGACAGCGACAGCTCTACAGAGTGTTCAAGTGAGAAACATTAATTTCAATTGTTGGTGGACGAATAAATGACTGGTTCCGAAAAACGCGGCCTGCACCGATGGTGTTTGGTGGTTCATCAAACAGGGTGACCAGCAGTGTTCACCGAGGAAGGAGAATACACTCGCCACCACTCCGATTCATCCAAGTGGGCGTTAGCTGCGCCGCGCCTATTGTGTTTTAGTATTCCATGGACGCACACTAGCGTTCTCAGCGATTGTGGAGCCACAACATATCTTCATGCGGCGTTGCACTGTCCAAGAGCAGAAACGTCAGCAGTGACCCATCATCATACATGTAGATTTGGAGTATACACACCATGCGCCAATGGGCCTTGGCACAACAGCGGCAGCTCTGCGGAGTGTTCAAGTGAGAAACATTTGTTTCGACTTTTGGTGGACGAGCAAATCGTCGGTGCTGAAAAACGTGGCCTGCGCCGATGGTGTTTGAACCATCGAGGGCTCCGGAAGCAGCAGCTGAGCCAGATCAGCCAGTCTTGCCAACTCTCAGTTGCCGGACTCCGTGCTGCAGCTAGCAGCACTGGCACCAGCCGGAAATATTTTTCCGCCGATACCCGTTACTTCCAGTTCTGTCAAGGGCATGACTGGAATCCATTGCCAGGTGATGACTTTTTACTTTATGTGTTATTTTGCTGCCGAGTTGTTCAGAACTTTTCAGCCCCGATCTGTCCATGTCTACATGTCGGCCATCCGCAAACTTCATGTGGAAGTAAATAGTTGGCTTTACCTACCCGTCAGGCCCAATGACTCTCCTCGCAAGGTTCCTGTCGGGCATCAACAGGTCATCATCGACACAGCGTCATCGCCTGCTGATAACCACTCAACTTCTCAGGGAGATTAGCCGGCATGTTGCCTTTCCACGGATGTGGCACCCTCATGACAAGGCCATGCTAAGGGCAAACTGACTGCTTGATTTTAGCTTTACATTACCGCAGTCAGTCCAGCACAATACGCCAATCGTATTTCACTATTACTCGCGTGTCATAATTGGGGATATGGGGTGCTCCGCCCTATATCCCTGATATGCCAACTAGACGAAAAGTGTGTTCTGAGCCTGTATCGCGTATAATAGGCTCATCGTAAAACATATAATAAAAGTCTTAAAAATCAGGGTTCACGTGACACTCGGGTTCCAGCCAAGTTTTCCGCGTCCGCAGGAACGCTACCCCACTCTTGAATCATAGCATAGTGGACTCTGCAATGAACAGATAATGAAACTCCCTGCAGATTTACTAAGGTCATCTCTGGTGACTGGTCTTGGGGCACCGTGGAAGCTGTGACTGGTTGCCAAGTTTAGTTTTGTGACTGATCATCGGGCATTTGTGACTACTTCGAAGCACAGCTCTGATTGATCACAGAGTCTTACTGTTGTGAATATTTATATCGATTGAGAAGTCAAGCAGCCACGGGGCGCTGGCCTTGCAGCTGTGAGTATGCATACGGTACATATTCACATGACTCTATTGTATGCTGGACACTGCTGGTCCATTGTTGCAGTGTGTAAGTGAACTGCGGAACCTATTCCGTGATGAAACACCTACTCTTGAATGACTGAATGTTTGAGCTAATAGTCTTTTACTTCACTCTCATGCTGCTCATATAATTATACCATACGCCAGAAGACCCTAAGTTAGTTCTAAGATTTTGTGGACCATGTGACCATGTGGTACTTTCACTCTACAGCCAAGTCAACCTCTTCGTCAACACACAGGGTTTTCCTCAGACACAAGCGAATGGTTTACTCCACTCTGGAGAAGAACACAGTTTGCTCTCTCGAACACCAACCGCAGATAACTACGGAATGTAGGAAGTGTAACAACTGCTAGAATATTGAACTGTCGTCCACACAAAACAAATATAGACAACTGAAAACCAAAACACATGCAACTGCCAACATGCATGTAACAGCGACTGCAAGCCAGAACTACAGACTCCGCGCAGGGAGGAACGGGGAAACAGAGGTAACGCTTCCGACTCCGAGAGCTTCGAATAGCAGCGGACAAAACAATACATCAACCTTGCGTGTCACCTTGCGCTACCGCAAACGAACACCTATGGATGCACAGTGCAGCACAGACTCAGTGCATGCACGGTGTAATAACTGGAGTACATGTGAACCGACAACGGTCACCTTGTACCCTATGCAGTAAGTTACATAGGCGGTGCCAACAAAAGAGCAGGGTTCGTGTATCGTGCACACTCCAATGGCACAGCAGAAAATGTTCTCACCAATAGCCACTGCTAGCTGTTTTGTCATCTTGCTGTGCCAAATGATGCTGTATAGACGCGCCAAGCAGAAATGGACTGCTTACGAGCGTGAACAGGCTGGATGGGGTGACTGATGGACTGTCGGAGTTGGTTAACCACAGAAATCGTGTCGCATCTCTGTATGCTGGGTTGGCACTGATTTGTAAAATGGCCTTCTCAGTATCGCAGGTCATGACGATTGGTGGCAGGCAAAATCGTAGAACAATGATGAATTGCCTAATGGCTAGGTCGTTGTTAGTAAGATTGCCTGAATCCTGGATATCAACACAGTCTAGGTCCCACAGATCTGGGATGGTGCAGGAGTCGGAAGTTGCATCAGTTAGAGAAACGATAGCTGGCATGGCTGCTCATCGGCGTAGCTGAGTGCTTGGAGTGACGTGTTTGGCCAGTCACCACAAAACCGACTGTGGTAGGCAGAACCTGTAGTCCTGGCGGAAGTCCTCTGGTGCTCTCCGTCAAAACTCCCAGAGGAAATCTGCACCGATCAAGACGACTGACTATCTTACGGTCAATGGCGATACTGGTTGATGCTGCACTACCTGCTGTTGCGCTAGATGCTGGTACCTTGTCAGCCACAGGCTGGTCAGCTACTATGTTGGTACTGCTGTCAGATTTCTGTTGAGATTCAGGGCAGATCGTGACATGATGGTGACTCTGATTGGTGACCCATGCGAGAACACACATTACACTTGCGGGTGGCCTTGCACTGAGTTGACCGGTGCCCTGTGCGCAAACACACAAAGCAACGCTTCTGTTCAATCAGTTATTCTTTCCGCTGTGCTACTGTTGTGTATTTCGCGCAGCTCTTGTCCAGGTGAGATCCGCCGCAGAATGCACACCCTCTCATACTGCTGGCATTCCAGTTACCATCAGACCGCTTCCTTCTGGTGAACTTGCATGCGCCTGTCACCAGTGCACCTGCAGAATAGTGAGTGACATCTTCTGCTGTAGTACCGCCTGTGTTTGTGCGGCGCAGAAAGGCGTCTTGCATGATAACTCCTAATGATAACATAACGCTTCAGTGCTGTTCTGAAGTCGTTCAGTTTCCATTGTGTCCCTGCATCTGAAAAGCCTCGCGATTCGTCCAGTTGAATCAGCGTTCGGCATGATCCGTATCTTGGTCACAGCACCATGTGACGATCTGGTGACATCAGACGGATATAATACACAAGAGACAGTTGTGATATTTCTACGTTGTGTTTACTTCAGATACATAATCTAAATAAAAGGGGGTTTGTCAACCGACAACCGCTCTATTTAGTTGCTATTCACTCTTTAGATGAAAATTCTTTTATTAATTATGTCGAAAAATTATGCGGTTGTCAGTTGACAACCACCCTTTTATTTACGATGCAGTTGCGTGATGTCCACCACTTTCTGTACATAAGTCATAATCTAAGAGTCCTAAAACAGCCACTGACTTCCAACTACCAAGGGAAAGCAAGCCCAAGCGCACATATAATATCGTAGTGCTGCCAGCTCTACTACTAGTAGAGCTGGCAGGCAAGGCATGATCAGGGGTTCAGGCCCTGCCTGTAAGCGCTCTGATTGGCTCAAACCCTGGCAACAATCACATGACATGTCTGAAAGTACAAGCAGTTGCGATTTATGCTGAAGTTCAAACTGACGGAACACGTGCAGCGCTACACCATGAACCGTGTGGAAACAAAAATAAGTAGAGGAGACACGGGATAACAGACATGAACTCAGGGTCAAACTGATAACTGTGAAACGAGGTTACGTGAATGCATGCAGTATATGGAGACAAAACAACTGAGTCACAGAATTCAGTACGTAACAAGTACTACACACTAACCTCGTACATGAGAATGTCACGACACCATTTGAGGCCTCGTTTACACGACAACGATTGAAAAACGTTTTTGTCAAAAACGTTTTCAAAAGAATACGCTTCCATAGATTTTGATAAGAGCGTTTACACGACAACGCTGAAAAACGTTTCAAAAACGTTTCAAACGAAAAACGGCCTCAAAGTGTTTTTCAATCGTTTTCGTTCCGTTTCGTTCTCGTGTAAACGGCAAAAACGTTTTACTAGTACGAGCCTTGTACTCAAAACATGCCGCCGCCAGCCTGCGCCAGGCCAACTTTTTGCACGTGACCATTGCGCACCGAAAAAAGTGTTGCAGTGTACACGATTATCGTTTTCGTGTAAACAGCAAAAACGTTTCGAAAACGATTGAAAAACGTTTTTCAATCGTTGTCGTGTAAATGAGGCCTGAATTAGCTCTTACACCCCACTTATGTTTCAGTCAGTAAGAGTACACATGCGTACTTACGTTGACTCTATTTTATCTGACTTGCTTAACACCATCGTTGTGAGCCTTCGGCACTTGCGAATACACAGGACAGATAAGATAGCAGCAAGAGCATCTCCCCGCTCTGTTAAAAACCCCTTGAGCGCGGGGCTGTTTGTCAGTGCACCACGTAAGAAAAATGGTCTTTTTTGAAAATTTTCAAACCTTGGCTATGTCAAGTCGTGAAATCTTTGGGAGCCACAACCACAGGCAGTAGTAGGTAGGACCCAGACCAGCACTCGACAACAAGAACAAAAGCGAAAATCGGCCAAGGCACGCCAGGCCGAGCGGCATACTCAGGTCGATTTTTGAGAAATTGCACCAATTGCGTGGTATGCGCGCGTAAAAAAGGAGAAAAAAAGAGCTGTGCTGATCGCTGTACATTGACAGCTGGGAACTGAACCCGGTACCTCTCGTACACAAGGCATAGACACTACCAATCGGCTAACAGACCTGAAGACTGAAGATACGGGCCGTTAGTTTGAATATAAGCGCGTGACGTACTAGTACGTCATCCGTGGGGCACTGTGTGGGTGTTATGACGTACTAGTACGTCATCCGCGCTCAAGGGGTTAACACAGCTCAGACGCCATGCTTCATGATTGTGTGCCCATGGAATACAAGGACACAATAGACTTGGTGCAGCTAACGAAGTGGATGAACGGTCGACGGCCTGAGTGTTCTCTTTCCTCGATCAACACTGACAGTCACCACATACCATGCTTGATGTTTCAAGCACCATCGGCGCAGGCCACGTTTTTCACGATTTGTTCGTCCACCAAAAGTCGAAACAAATGTTTCTCACTTGAACACTCTGCAGAGCTGCCGCTGTTGTGCCAAGGCCCATTGGCGCATGGTGTGTATACTCCAAATCTACATGTATGATGATGGGTCACTGCTGACGTTCCTGCTCTTGGACAGTGCAACGCCGCATGAAGATATGTTGTGGCTCCACAATCGCTGAGAACGCTAGTGTGCGTCCATGGAATACTAAAACACAATAGGCGCGGCGCAGCTAACGCCCACTTGGATGAATCGGAGTGGTGGCGAGTGCATTCTCCTTCCTCGGTGAACACTGCTGGTCACCCTGTTTGATGAACCACCAAACACCATCGGTGCAGGCCGCGTTTTTCGGAACCAGTCATTTATTCGTCCACCAACAATTGAAATTAATGTTTCTCACTTGAACACTCTGTAGAGCTGTCGCTGTCGTGACAAGGCCGTGTATACTCCAAGTCTACATGTAGGATGAAGAGTAACAGTTACTGCTGATAATGAAGTTTGCGCTCGTGGACAATACAACGCTGTGTGAAGTAAATTGTGGCTCCACAATCGCTCTGAATGCTAATGTGTGTCCATGGAATACTAAAACACAATAGGCGCGGTGCAGCTAATGCCCAACGTGGATGAAACGGACAACAGCAGCGGCTAGAGCGTTCTCCTTCCTCGGTGAACACTGCTACAAGACATTATGCTTGATGATTCACCAAACACCATCGTTGGGGGCCAAGTTTTCCGGCGCCAGCGAGTTGTTCGTCCACCAACTAACTTTGATGAGTCTTTCTTCAACACTTCGTAGAGCAGCCGCGCAAGGCCTTTCCTTCGCGTTAGGGTAGCGATCCTTCCTAGATGATTATAATTATCGCTATTCATTGTTACTTTTTACTACAATGAGTAGTGTTTCTCCGAAAATAAAGTCAGCTGCCTGGGCATTACAATACGAAGTAGTGGTCGCGACTTCGGCGATGATTTGTAAGAAAGGGTTTGCTCCCCACACCGGTCCTCAGCCTACTCAAGCTCAACTGATGAGGGGTGAATTCCCCGAAACACTGTGTATTGAGCAGGGAGTGGTGCTTTCTTGCAGGTTTGCCAAGTCGAAGGTTCGATGGACTTCTCGTGTGCTCTGGATGGCAGTCGTGAGTCAGTCAAGTGTCAAGTAAAGTCGGCGGAATAGCGCGAGCTCCGGTGTGGGGAGCAAACCCTTTCTTACAAATCATCGCCGAAGTCGCGACCACTACTTCGTATTGTTGTGCCCAGCGCGGGCTTGCGACTAGTTGGTTTGGAGGTGACAGCGTTGCGAATGACCGAGGGTCCTCAACGTCTGGTCTCACCGTCCAGGAGCGACACTGACTCACGCTGCTATCTGGTGTTCACGAGGTGTTTGTCGCGCTGGAAATGGAGCGTCTCTGTAAGTTTGTATCCCTGGTGATGTTTGTGCCTGGAGAGCACTATATAAGTGGTGCTCTTCAGGCACAATCTTCCTCAGCCTACTCAAGCTCAACTGATGAGGGGTGAATTCCCCGAAACACTGTGTATTGAGCAGGGAGTGGTGCTTTCTTGCAGGTTTGCCAAGTCGAAGGTTCGATGGACTTCTCGTGTGCTCTGGATGGCAGTCGTGAGTCAGTCAAGTGTCAAGTAAAGTCGGCGGAATAGCGCGAGCTCCGGTGTGGGGAGCAAACCCTTTCTTGCCTGGGCATTAGGCATTAGTACCGCTCGCCCGCGCTACCTTTCACGTCAAGCAATCTGTTCACGCGACATGGCTGGATAGGGCTAGGCAGTACTGCCTAGCCCTGGCCCTAGCGCCTGGACTTGTAAAAAAATTGATTTTGCAAGTCTTCAATCATGTTTGCATGTACGCGCTATCCAGCCATGTGGCGTGAACAGATTGCTTGACGTGAAAGGTAGCGCGGGCGAGCGCGAGTCGTACGCGCTCGCGGACGTGTCTGACACGTGAAACGAAAAGGTTTTTTTGGCGGGTAGTCGGCAAAAATTAAAGCCAAAAAAGGGGCACTACGGCTTCATTTTCGACGCCGAGTTTTCGATGCCAAGACGAAGGTTGGTGAAAGAGAAGACCCCTCGAACAAGAACGAGTCTCCAGAAGCGATCGAGTCGAGCAGGAAGACGACTTTTGAATTTCGCCGAGCGAGCGCTGATGACGTAATGAGGGATTAGCTTGCCAGTGGAAATGCATCTGCGCACATACATTTCACACACTTTTTGGCCAATTTTCAATCGAAGAAGAGGTTGTTTGCTATGTTCTCCCAACGCCGTGAGCGATCCCGTCTTCTATACCCTTCCAGGTACCCTGAAGGTCCTCCAGAGGAGAATTTATCTCCATCAAAGCGTTGCTGATCCGCTAAATTCGTCTCGAGACATATTCACCCAGTGCAGTGCTGATAAATGTAGAATGTTGAATCTGTGATAATTGTCGACGATGGAGAGAGAGGCTGATAGCCACTGGCGCAGGGAGAGTGAAGCTGCTGGAAGTAACAACGGGGAGCCCGTTTGTATCACCTGAACAACCAGACTTCAAAGCAGCTTGACCAAATCGGAGGGTGCCTCGTTGCTTATCGTGAATATTACACCGACATGAATTACTACAAGTATACTGGTGAGTTTTTATCTTGTTTTGTTCGTATGCTAGTACCCTGGCCTGGAGTTCTCGTTAGCAAATTCCTATTCCCTGGCGTTTTCTAAACATTCCGTGTAGGACTGAATACGTGATCAAGTATTCCGATTTGGGTAGATGTGGAATTTGGAAATGTATTTTATAAAAAAATTCCTAATAGAGCGTTTGTAGAGAAATGGTTGCCCAAATACAACAAAATTTATTCTGCAGTTCTACAACTAACTTGTACTGAAATCCAGTCAAAGTAAAAATGATTCTTCATGACTGTTGGGGTCAATGAAATCTGATCCAGGCATAACGAATGTTGACGCCTGCCACCCCGGGAACGAATGCCCATTTGGTGGGGGATACCAAAGTACTCGAAAGTAGTGCGTGTTTCAATGTGGCATGGAAGTTTTATATGATCTCTGGTCAATGCAACATACGATAGCCATCGTGAATTGCAGGCCTCGAACGCAACTCCGACCAGAATTGGCAGTTCCCTAAGCTAGATGCTTTATAATTCCATGGCCCCAGCTGTAGTTATAGAGGTTTTTTTGCACATTATTCTTATAGTCGGTAGGCTTATACTGATGGCCACAAACAACGGCAGTTCAAACTTCACTGATGTGTTCATGAGCTGAGAGATTTCTCTCCACTATTTCTGTTGTGCACACAGGTCTGTCCAATATGCATTGACCGCATTGGCTATGGTACCTGCTCTGAGAAGGGAATCGCTGGAGCCACAGTCCAACTATACAGGCTTTCAAGAAACAGAGAGGAGCCATCTTTGCAAGCTGATACCTGATGTGTACCGACAGAATTCTCACGAGATACCTTACAGACTACGCCTGGTGTATACTTCATAGCACTCCTTCGACTACTGTCTAGAATCAAGTCGACTGAAACAAGTTCAAACAACTCTGGCTTCAAACGAGCCGTCGATTAGACAAACAAAACATTCTCTCATATACTAGAGCACTCTGACAACTCACGACCTATTCCTAACGATTGCCACTGCTTATAAATAATTATGTAGAGTACTGATTGGAATGTGCTCACAATCTCAACTATTCAGTGCTATAATTATTTGAACTATGTGTTCCTTCCATAAATGTTATATCCGCATATAATCCACAGTGCTGCAAAGTTTCAGAGTTCTCAGGGTATCAAACAAAATTATTTCAAATACAGTGAAATTGTTCGTGGACATTATAGCGTAACTTGTAGTTCCCTGGTCCTTTTCTCTACTGTGAATATATCGTATCTGGATATTAATATATCACCAATCCCTTTCGCCACCTTTGTAGCTGACACATTTGGCGCAAACACAGCACAGCACAGTATATTTGCTGCTCCTTTGTAGAGTGCACATCATTGCAAACCTGATGAGGGCTATATGCCGAAACGTTGTTTTAACTACGAAAATGTGTTCGAACGTTGCAGTGTAAATAGAAGGGAGCGAGTCCGCTCCATCTGTAATTCTGGTCCTTTTCTTTGCTATAAATCAATCCTTTGCTCTCTAGCCGCCGGCGAGTCCAACAGTGAAATTGTTAGTTCATATTTATGTGGGTATGTGTGTGTGTGTGGGGGGGGGGGGGGGGTTGAACATATTTCTATATAAGGAACCTGCACAGTACAGTAGATAGCAAATAATTATGTAGAAAACAGAAATACATGTTCCCATCATTGTACAAGGACGGGCGCAGCAGGCCGAAGCTATCAGCCAGAACAGGATTTACAATCGCCTAGAGATACTTGAGCTATTCCAGTATTCTCCGTGAGCTGTCCCATTCCACAATGGTTCATGCCACCATTATTTCTCGTAGTATCCATGTGCATAATTCCAAGACCATCTCGGATTCTTCAGCAATTTGTGCCACGGCAAAAGACAACGCTTGACTAAGTCACTGGGGCTGTCAAACTTCGCATCACAAATGAACTTCAATTTCTCATCTGGTTCAAGTATACATGTATGTACTGCCATGACTTGACCATGCTTCATCCACAGCTGGGCGAAGATTGTGGCGTTGAATTCCATAGCGCACCTTCTTGCTGCCATGCAGGAGTATGTTGAGAGAAGTGAACACATGTTTACTAAAAAAACAACAGCCACTGAAGAGGATAGCGTTAGCAATAGCCTTGGGTGAATTTCCTGCAGGTACACGTTGTTGGTAGGTCT